ACTTTCTCAGCACAAGAGACGACCAGACATCCCAACACACTTTTCAAAGTCCAAGAGCTGGTCCCCTTGGCAGAGCAATACCCCATTCCATGCCCCTCCTATCAGCAGCTCATTGTGACCTGAGTCAAGACGCCCAATGGTTGATGGACGCAGGGGTGGCCCCATCTACATTCGAAGCTTACTCTACTGGCCTATCACGTTTTAAGCTCTTCCTACTCTTGAACGGCTTTGAAACGACCACCACCAACCTGCCCCCACTTACTGAAAACAGGATTCTACTGTTTATCACACACTGCCATTCCAAGTTACAGCTGCAATACAGTACCATCAAACTGTAGATGGCAGGAGTCAAGTTCTTTTATGTGCGTGCAGGGCGGTATCAAGAAGTGTCTCAAGCAATTCAACCAGACAGAGTACAACTGCTGCTACGAGGTATCAAGAAATCCCAAGGGAAGCCTAAACTCACTCGCTAACCTATCACCACCGGCCTGCTGAAACAAATGTGCTGTGTTTTACGCAAAGGCTGCTTTACACCATTCGTTGACTGCATGATGGAAGCAGCATGCACCTTGGCCTTTTTTGCTTTCCTTCGGTGTAGTGAGTTTACAGTGAGAGGATCTTTTGATCCAGCCATCAATTTGTGCCTTAGTGATGTGCATTTGAATGCTCAGTGTACAAGAGCGGACGTCAAGATTAAAGCCTCCAAAACCCACCCATTCAAGGAAGGTGTGGTGTTGCAATTATATGCAAATAAATGTGTGTGTCAAGTGAGAGCTCTAGTGAAATACCTCGACATGAGGAGTAAGTGTTTCCAAGCTTCTTCTCAGGCTTTCTTCTTGGATGAGCAACATTTGCCTCTTACCAGAGATTCCTTTCAAGGAAAATTGAAACATGTAATTAATCTATGTGGAGTCCCTAGTGCCAACTACAACACTCACTCGTTTCGCATTGGGGCCGCTACTATGGCAAGCAAAGCTCAAGTTGAGGACCATATGATACAGACTCTCGGACGTTGGTCGCCAGCCTACTTGCGTTACATTCATGTGGCTCAAGAGAGCATTAAGAAGTCCCAAGTCGCTATGAGTAACTGTTGACCATATCATCTTACACCTATCTACAATCATTGGGACAGCTCATTTTCTTTACAGCCTTTTCACCTTCCATGTCTTATTACCATGTATATCTTTTAACATTTTTTATCTACTTGGGGATAATAGAAATAGCAGTTATCTCGTGGCCCCTAAGGGATCCAAGCATGAGAAGCTAGCTGTGCTTAGCAGTAGCAGTCTGTGCTGGTGGATTTCAACCATCCTGTGACTGTGGCTTTTTCTATATCTTATCTGATGGTGAATTGCAAGATATAACAAGCTGCTTCCTGTGTCCTCTGTGAGGTTCTGTTGCTGTTAGATAGGGACATTGGAGACAGATTTGGAGTAACTAGAAGCTTGCACCTTCCAGACATGGAGATGGAACTGTGTAGACTGCCGTACATGATGTCTGATCTGGGTTGGTGGAGAAGATCTTGATGTTCTGGTAGTACTCTCAGTCCTTGTCTGAGTGATAGGTCAAGCTTAGGATTGGACGTAATCATGGAGTCCCAATGGGTGATGGTGATGCTTCTTAGCCCTCCATTCCTCCATGAGGTGTCTCTGATGATAGTGGTGTCTGTGGCGGGAAACAGCTCCATGCCCCACTTTCCAAGCTCCATCAAGACAACAATGCTAATCCTCTTCAGCTTTAACGCTGGATAACAACTATCTAGTTTTATTAGAATATGTTATACAGAAGATACACTTACAGTGTGACAACTACCAAAACTAATGTGGCATGACAACTCGTAGACAGTGTGGATACCGAGATATTATTACTTGCCCAAGTCATTATGTATAGTTGACAGTGAACAGCACTACTGTTGAAAATCTGAAGATTTGATGGTGTGATGACAGTCAAAAAAAATAAAAATGTATGGCTATGATGTAATAGAGGTGGGGTATTCGCAATCCTTTGGTTTATTCATAATCATTTGAGAACAAAGTTTATTGTCAATATTGGACCATGTTATGCCATGTATAATTACAATTGGCCAGCTGGCAGAAGTAAAGACCATGTGGAATTCATTCTCCTTGTTTGCAATGAAAGACTTTGTAAAATATCACATGGAAACAATAACACAAAGAAACACATTTCAATGTTGATAAATTTGTATTCCCGTTGTAGACATGTGCTTGCCTTTTCTTAACCAATGGCACCCGAAATTCAGGTCAATCATGTCAAGTCACACATTTCTAGCTTTCAAAAATCTGGTAGGGTTCATTGAATTTAACAAACTTATAACAAATGTCATTTTCATCCAATGAAATTTATTCCTGGGTTGCATAAATTGCTTAAAGCTTATTCCAAAAAAAATGAACAGGTATGTTGCTATGTGTAAGTAATTTTAGTGGTGGTAGAAACTGTTGTAAATATATTTGTGGTAATTATCACTGGCAGCAAATGATGGAACTGCTGATTATAAGATATCAAGTGCAGTCGTGACCAGCAGCTGAATAGAGCTTCCCAGATGGTTTTGTACTGGCTCTGTTTGTGTTCATGAACATGGCATGCATGATCATTGGAGAAGTTTCTAGATGGGACACTTTCAAAAATGCAGGTGTTACCTATGTAAGAGCGACAAGAGGGCAATTCGAGGGCTACTTGGACCTGACTGGTTTCTGATCTACTTGGCAAGTCCAATACATATTGGTGGAAACACCACATTCCTGTCACCTTCGTGTTGCACTTACATTCACAGGCCTGTTACTTATAGTTCCTGCCACATATTTGAACCCTTGCATTACATTTTTGATTGTCAACATAAAACTGAGTTTTTAAACATAATATGTGTGGTCATCTACTGATTTCACAATTTAGTTTTGTGCGAACTGATTTCTGGATTAACCCCTGCTATTTCTATTTGGAAACCATATTGTAATAAAGTAAAGTATCCTCAGCTGGTAAACAAGGTGAGCTTGTTACAGTTAGATGGTCAAGTCATGCACAAGTGCTGTAAGGGTTTGTAAGGGCAAGAAGCAACAGAGGCTATGCTCTAGTGATTTATAAGGTTTCGAAAAATAAAATTGGTTCTCAGGCAATGGCTTTTGAAAACATAGTGCGAGAGAGCAGCCTTTTGTTGTTGTTGTTCAAACTAGTTCGTAACCAAATAAACAGATGTGTACAATAAACCTGGCAAAGGGCCTCCCTACATAAATGTATTCCTTGATGAGTAAAATACTGTAATACAGTATTGGTCTACCTCTGTGTGCATAATACACGCATTCATCACAATGCGAAGTGATATCGTGAGCACACAACACCGGAAGAAGCATGTCAACAAATCCGCACTGAAGTACACAAATTAGTCCTGTTATTACACTATCTGGCTATAAAAGTGTTCATTGTGTATGTGGACTTATATCATAGGCAGTTTAGCAGGGTATAGGTTTTAACAGGGAGTCTGTATATTTTAACAGGGAGTCTATATACGTTTAATATATTCCCTCAGTTAAGTAAGTTGATTATATCTATTTAAGTATTGAGAGTGCTGCCAATACAAATTATAACAGCAGCTGGGCTATTATGACAATGGCTAACAGCACAGAGTCATGTGCAGGTCGGTGGCTCCAAATTAGCGCTAGAGAATGGCGGGTTGGCCACTGAAGCTTGACATTGTGGATGAGGTGCAGGATACTGCAGGCTGAACAAGGAGGTATCGTATTCGATACGTGGCAGCGGGTCAGTAATTTGACTGGTTTAAATTAGAATACTTTCTGTTAGTCGGGACTTGACCTTCGGACAACGGCTAGGCAGGTTCGCTCTCTGACGCCTCTGATATGCTGCCTGGCCATGTCTGTCCCATTACCACAATCGTGATTATACAGATGCTGTAATTATTGTATCACAAATAAAGTGTTGCTGACCCACTGATGGACTCCTGTGTTTGAAGAAGGACAGATATCCCAAACTTAACAGCCCAGGATACTTACGTTTGTAATCCATTATGTTACTTTTATCCAAGATTTCATTCATTATTGTTTACATTAATTTCGGCAAAATCGTGTATGAACTGTTTGGCAAATCACATCAACTCAACATGAACTTGCCTGAAACGAACATTAGTCGTTAGAAACAAATACAAAGTCTTCAGTCATCCTATCACTGTACTGAAATTTCTTTTCAGTTATGATATTGGCCATGACATTAATTGTTTTTCAAACTACATTTGTACATCCCTCATAGATTGGGGTGAAAATGTGTGAACAGCTGATTGCTATTTCCACCTTATTTTACGAGACAAATACACATGATCTTAATCTCTGCATATGAAACATTGTCAGGCATACAGTACACAAACAACATTGAATTTGTAAATCATCATGCCAAGTGATGTTTTCTCGAAAATTTCATGGTCTCATTAACCAAATTTGCAAACGGCAAAACATGCACACAAACTCCTATTGCCGCCATAACCATAACCATAACAAGAGATGTGCAGTAAAGCAGTGCGCATGTAAGGGTAAGCAACTGCATGCCATATATTGGATCGCATTGTTTTTAAGTATTGTAGCTTTTCACTGCCAGGGTCATGTGTTTGAGACGTGGAATATTTAAGGATTTTTTTTCAAAATGGAAACAAAAACGATACGTGCAGTGGATTTTGTGATGATGTGCCAGAGCCTGAGAAACAAGACTATTTTTCTTTTTAGCCTAAGTGAGTATTTCATTTTATCAAATTACCTTCTTTAGACAACTCAGCCTAATTTAAATGATGGTGGGGGAACCACCTCCATTTCTGAACAATTCTGGATGCAACACTGAGATATCCTGTGCACTATCATTTGGCCTTGGCCTTCAATGTAATCCCATCATGTCACCAGGGGTATACAAGAGGCATGAAGTAAGTCTCTAACATCTGTCATTTGCGGTCACATGCTTAAGCTCATCTCATCCTCTAAAGCCCTTACCTCCCCTTGATTTGCTGCAGATTTTCCTGACCAGAAGAGATGGGAACAAGTTGAAACACCCCGACACTGGTCTGGTTTCTTCAAGAGTTTAGATGCTGCCAGAGCACACTGTGTTCGGAGTGGTTCGTGATTCTCCTCGCCAAAACAAGACATCTGTTCCAATGTACCAATGATGAGGGAGATGGCAGCCAACTGTGCCTTGCTGTCACTGATTTCATCCTCATACAGGGAAAATGCCTAAAATCATAAACAGAACACATACTGGCATCACTCAGGAATGTGAAATCTCCGCGGAACCGAGGAAAACACTGTTTTTTAAAACAGTAGTCCTCGAAAAAAATCATCTTCCGCGTAAAAATATAATCAAAGATTTTAAAAAACACTCTGAAAAATGTTATCGAAAACCAGACAACCGTCTCAGGTTGTCCTGTTTTTGATCAGAGCTTTCACCATCATAAGTTTTAGGACATCAAATGTTTCTAATACAAATACTTGCACTATAACGTGGGGTGTGGCGTCACACAGAAATTGTAAATACTCAGATGATGGCATGTTTTAAGGTAAAGTTGTCTTTTAGCCTATAAGTGAATGAGATGTTTTACACTTGTTTCTGTGATTAGCTATAAAACTTTGAATGTTTCTTCAACGTCCAAAAACCAATAATGTATTAATGTCTTATGTTTGCAATGGATTTTTGTTTTTTTCAACAAAAGGTAAGTAAGAACAAGGTAAGTTTTTTTCAATATGCTTCAACATGGGGAAAGGGTCAAACATTGCACGCTTGTGACAGTTGTCCTTGTATCTGGGTGACGGGGTGTGAAGTTTCTGGCAGTATTGCTCCCAGACCTGGTGGGTAGCTGGGTGTGCGGAAGCTATGCCTGATTTTTTAAAAGTACTAGATCCGCCATCTTTGTTTATTTGACTTATTGACTTTTCACATTACTTGGTGTGAATGTTGTCCAAACTGCACAAAATAACTTAAAATGCAATCAAATGTTCAGGGGGGGGATGCCCCAGACCCCCCTAGAGTTTTCCTCTTTTTTCGGGAAAACCTGCTCACATCCCGGATCACTACGTTCACAAACATTTTTCAGGTTGACTCTTCATACTTTTGCTTGACGGCTTATACAGTTATTAACATGGTTGCGCAGTGGAGGGCGACGATCACATGTCCACCTTCTGTCCTTCTGACTCGACTTGAAATTATACAATTAATGCGGAACTAAACGTGATTCTCCTATTATTACATCTATGGGGTACTAAACATGATTATCCTACTATGACATCTATGGGAAACTAAACGTGATTCCCTTATTATGACATCTATGGGGTACTAAACATGATTATCCTACTATGACATCTATGGGAAACTAAACGTGATTCTGTTATTATGACATCTATGGGGTACTAAACATGAGGGCGGTCGGGTAGCCTAGTGGTTAAAGCGTTGGCTCTTCACGCCAAAGACCCGGGTTCGATTCCCGACATGGGTACAATGTGTGAAGCCCATTTCTGGTGTCCCCCGCCGTGATATTGCTGGAATATTGCTAAAAGCGGCGTAAAACCATACTCACTCACTCACTAAACATGATTATCCTACTATGACATCTATGGGAAACTAAACGTGATTCTCTTATTATGACATCTACGGGAAACAAACGTGATTCTCTTAATGAATAAATGAAAATAAAGAAACCAAGGTAGGTACATGATCACGAATGTAGGAATGAATAACTGGTAAGTACACACTTTACATCTCTAAAGACCACAAATATTGGTCCAACTAGTATCAACAAAGACCACGAAAACAGGTCTATGACCACAAGGTAAAGTGTGTCTTGCTCCAAAGAATGAAAAGCCTACGCAGGTGCAAGATGAGGCACCATACACAGGTGCAAGATGAGGCACCATACGCAGGTGCAAGATGAGGCACCATACGCAGGTGCAAGATGAGGCACAATAGCAGGAGCAGGAGGAGGCACCAGACCCAGGTGCAAATGGAGGCACCAGACGCGGGTGCAAGATGCGGCACCAGACACAGGTGCAAGAGGAGGCATCAGAAGCAGGTGCAAGTGGAGGCACCAGACACAGGAGCAAGAGGAGGTAACAGATGCAAGAAGAGGCACCAGACACAGGAGCAAGAGTAGGTAACAGAAGCAACAGGAGGCACCAGACACAGGTGCAAGAGGAGGCACCAGAAGCAGGTGCAAGAGGAGGTAACCGATACAAGAGGAGGCACCAGATACAGGTGCAAGTGGAGGCACCAGACGCAGGAGCAAGAGGAGGCACCAGACGCAGGAGCAAGAGGAGGAAACAGATGCAAGAGGAGGTAACAGATGCAAGAGGAGGCACCAGATACAGATGCAAGTGGAGGCACCAGATACAGGTGCAAGAGGAGGTAACAGAAGCAGGAGCAAGAGGAGGTAACAGATGCAAGAGGAGGCACCAGACGCAGGTGCAGGAGGAGGCACCAGACGCAGGTGCAAGAGGAGGCACCAGAAGCAGGTGCAAGAGGAGGTAACAGATACAGGTGCAAGAGGAGGCACCAGATACAGATGCAAGAGGAGGCACCAGACGCAGGAGCAAGAGGAGGTAACAGAAGCAAGAGGAGGCACCAGACACAGGTGCAAGAGGAGGCACCAGAAGCAGGTGCAAGAGGAGGTAACAGATACAAGAGGAGGCACCAGATACAGGTGCAAGTGGAGCCACCAGAAGCAGCAGCAAGTGGAGGCACCAGATACAGGTGCAAGTGGAGGCACCAGATACAGGTGCAGGTGGAGGCACCAGATATAGATGCAAGTGGAGGCACCAGATACAGGTGCAAGTGGAGGCACCAGATACAGATGCAAGAGGAGGCACCAGACGAAGGTGCAAGAGGAGGCACCAGAAGCAGGTGCAAGAGGAGGTAACAGGTGCAAGAGGAGGTAACAGATGCAAGAGGAGGTAACAGATGCAAGAGCAAGAGGAGGCACCAGACGCAGGAGCAAGAGGAGGTAACAGATGCAAGAGGAGGCACCAGACGCAGGTGCAAGAGGAGGTAACAGATGTAAGATGAGGCACCGGATGCAGGTGCAAGAGGAGGCACAAGAAGCAGGAGCAAGAGGAGGTAACAGATGCAAGAGGAGGCACCAGATACAAGAGGAGGTAACAGATGCAAGAGCAAGAGGAGGCACCTGACGCAGGAGCAAGAGGAGGAAACAGATGCAAGAGGAGGAAACAGATGCAAGAGGAAGCACCAGATACAGGTGCAAGAGGAGGCACCAGATACAGGTGCAAGATGAGGCACCAGATACAGGTGCAAGATGAGGCACCAGAAGCAGGTGCAAGAGGAGGTAACAGATACAGGTGCAAGAGGAGGCACTAGATACAGGTGCAAGAGGATGCACCAGAAGCAGGTGCAAGTGGAGGCACCAGACGCAGGAGCAAGAGGAGGTAACAGATGCAAGAGGAGGCACCAGACGCAGGAGCAAGAGGAGGTAACAGATGCAAGAGGAGGCACCAGACGCAGGAGCAAGAGGAGGTAACAGATGCAAGAGGAGGCACCAGATACAGGTGCAAGAGGAGGCACCAGATACAGGTGCAAGTGGAGCCACCAGAAGCAGCAGCAAGTGGAGGCACCAGACGCAGGAGCAAGAGGAGGTAACAAATGCAAGAGGAGGTAACAGATGCAAGAGGAGGCACCAGATACAGATGCAAGTGGAGGCACCAGATACAGGTGCAAGTGGAGGCACCAGATACAGGTGCAGGTGGAGGCACCAGATATAGATGCAAGTGGAGGCACCAGATACAGGTGCAAGTGGAGGCACCAGATACAGATGCAAGAGGAGGCACCAGACGAAGGTGCAAGAGGAGGCACCAGAAGCAGGTGCAAGAGGAGGTAACAGGTGCAAGAGGAGGTAACAGATGCAAGAGGAGGTAACAGATGCAAGAGCAAGAGGAGGCACCAGACGCAGGAGCAAGAGGAGGTAACAGATGCAAGAGGAGGCACCAGACGCAGGTGCAAGAGGAGGTAACAGATGTAAGATGAGGCACCGGATGCAGGTGCAAGAGGAGGCACAAGAAGCAGGAGCAAGAGGAGGTAACAGATGCAAGAGGAGGCACCAGATACAAGAGGAGGTAACAGATGCAAGAGCAAGAGGAGGCACCTGACGCAGGAGCAAGAGGAGGAAACAGATGCAAGAGGAGGAAACAGATGCAAGAGGAAGCACCAGATACAGGTGCAAGAGGAGGCACCAGATACAGGTGCAAGATGAGGCACCAGATACAGGTGCAAGATGAGGCACCAGAAGCAGGTGCAAGAGGAGGTAACAGATACAGGTGCAAGAGGAGGCACTAGATACAGGTGCAAGAGGATGCACCAGAAGCAGGTGCAAGTGGAGGCACAAGACGCAGGAGCAAGAGGAGGTAACAGATGCAAGAGGAGGCACCAGACGCAGGAGCAAGAGGAGGTAACAGATGCAAGAGGAGGCACCAGACGCAGGAGCAAGAGGAGGTAACAGATGCAAGAGGAGGCACCAGATACAGGTGCAAGAGGAGGCACCAGATACAGGTGCAAGTGGAGCCACCAGAAGCAGCAGCAAGTGGAGGCACCAGACGCAGGAGCAAGAGGAGGTAACAAATGCAAGAGGAGGTAACAGATGCAAGAGGAGGCACCAGATACAGATGCAAGTGGAGGCACCAGATACAGGTGCAAGTGGAGGCACCAGATACAGGTGCAGGTGGAGGCACCAGATATAGATGCAAGTGGAGGCACCAGATACAGGTGCAAGTGGAGGCACCAGATACAGATGCAAGAGGAGGCACCAGACGAAGGTGCAAGAGGAGGCACCAGAAGCAGGTGCAAGAGGAGGTAACAGGTGCAAGAGGAGGTAACAGATGCAAGAGGAGGTAACAGATGCAAGAGCAAGAGGAGGCACCAGACGCAGGAGCAAGAGGAGGTAACAGATGCAAGAGGAGGCACCAGACGCAGGTGCAAGAGGAGGTAACAGATGTAAGATGAGGCACCGGATGCAGGTGCAAGAGGAGGCACAAGAAGCAGGAGCAAGAGGAGGTAACAGATGCAAGAGGAGGCACCAGATACAAGAGGAGGTAACAGATGCAAGAGCAAGAGGAGGCACCTGACGCAGGAGCAAGAGGAGGAAACAGATGCAAGAGGAGGAAACAGATGCAAGAGGAAGCACCAGATACAGGTGCAAGAGGAGGCACCAGATACAGGTGCAAGATGAGGCACCAGATACAGGTGCAAGATGAGGCACCAGAAGCAGGTGCAAGAGGAGGTAACAGATACAGGTGCAAGAGGAGGCACTAGATACAGGTGCAAGAGGATGCACCAGAAGCAGGTGCAAGTGGAGGCACAAGACGCAGGAGCAAGAGGAGGTAACAGATGCAAGAGGAGGCACCAGACGCAGGAGCAAGAGGAGGTAACAGATGCAAGAGGAGGCACCAGACGCAGGAGCAAGAGGAGGTAACAGATGCAAGAGGAGGCACCAGATACAGGTGCAAGAGGAGGCACCAGAAGCAGGTGCAAGTGGAGGCACCAGACGCAGGAACAAGAGGAGGTAACAGATGCAAGAGGAGGCACCAGATAAAAAAAACAAAAGGAGGCACCAGATACAGGTGCAAGTGGAGGCACCACAAGCAGGTGCAAGAGGAGGCACCAGAAGCAGGTGCAAGAGGAGGTAACAGATACAGGTGCAAGTGGAGGCACCAGAAGCAGGTGCAAGTGGAGGCACCAGACGCAGGAGCAAGAGGAGGTAACAGATGCAAGTGGAGGCACCAAATACAGGTGCAAGAGGAGGCACCAGACGCAGGAGCAAGAGGAGGTAACAGATGCAAGAGGAGGCACCAGACGCAGGAGCAAGAGGAGGTAACAGATGCAAGAGGAGGCACCAGACGCAGGAGCAAGAGGAGGTAACAGATGCAAGTGGAGGCACCAGACGCAGGAGCAAGAGGAGGTACCAGATGCAAGAGGAGGCACCAGAAGCAGGTGCAAGTGGAGGCACCAGACGCAGGAGCAAGAGGAGGTAACAGATGCAAGTGGAGGCACCAAATACAGGTGCAAGAGGAGGCACCAGACGCAGGAGCAAGAGGAGGTAACAGATGCAAGAGGAGGCACCAGACGCAGGAGCAAGAGGAGGTAACAGATGCAAGAGGAGGCACCAGACGCAGGAGCAAGAGGAGGTAACAGATGCAAGTGGAGGCACCAGACGCAGGAGCAAGAGGAGGTACCAGATGCAAGAGGAGGCACCAGAAGCAGGTGCAAGTGGAGGCACCAGACGCAGGAGCAAGAGGAGGTAACAGATGCAAGAGGAGGCACCAGACGCAGGAGCAAGAGGAGGTAACAGATGCAAGAGGAGGCACCAGACGAAGGAGCAAGAGGAGGTAACAGATGCAAGTGGAGGCACCAGATACAGGTGCAAGAGGAGGCACCAGACGCAGGAGGAAGAGGAGGTAACAGATGCAAGAGGAGGCACCAGATACAGGTGCAAGAGGAGGCACCAGAAGCAGGTGCAAGTGGGGGCACCAGACGCAGGAGCAAGAGGAGGTAACAGATGCAAGAGGAGGCATCAGATACAGGTGCAAGTGGAGGCACCAGACGCAGGAGCAAGAGGAGGCACCAAATGCATGTGCAAGTGGAGGCACCAGACGCTGGCACAAATGAAGGCACCAGACGTAGATACAAATAGATGCACCAGACTCAGGCACAAATGGAGGCACTAGACACAGGTGCAAGTGGACAAACAAGACACAGGTGCAAGAGGAGGCACCAGACACAGGCACAAGCACTTGATAAGTTAGCTTACTCTCAACCTATGTAAGGAAAACCAATGGGGTAAAGACTTTATCTTTATTTCTTCAAGCCTTACCTGAGACATAAACTCATAGGCCACAGTTTCATAGTTGTCAAACTCAATCTGACCGGCAGCTAAGGCACCCTGTAGAAAAAGCCTGAGGGGGATCTCAGCCTGTTCAGCTTTAAGCAAGGCCCCGATTGTTTGATGACAAAACTGGAAGATCTTTTGACATTTCTTTTCCCAGTTCTCATCCTGTAAAGAGAGCATCACATTGCATGAAATAACAGTGAATGACACTCTGAAAGAAATCCTTTTGTTCAACTGAATCCCCTAACATTATTATTCATGTCCAGCTGATATCCTGAAACCTTTGACATTGATACAGATCAACTTACAAATAATACAACTAACTTTGGTCTAATTTATATTTTTGTTAAATCACTCAATCTGTGCAAACCTATTATCATCTTCCAACTACTAACCTCAACCTTGAACCCTAATACTAACCCCACCCTGGAAACCAACTACTAACCTCACCTTGGAAACCCACAACTAACCTCATCCTGGAAACCCACAACTAACCTCATCCTTGAGCCCCACTACTAACCTTATCCTGGAACCCCAGTACTGACCTCATCCTGGAAACCCACTACTAACCTCATCCTTGAATCCCAGTACTAACCTCATCCTTGAACCACACTACTAACCTCATCCTTGGCACCACCCTACTAACCTCATCCTGGAAACCTAGTATTAACCTCATCTTGGAAACCCAGTATTAACCTCATCTTTGAATCCCAGTACTAACCTCATCCTTGAACCCCACTTCTAACCTCATCCTGGAAACCCACTACTAACCTCATCCTTGAACCCGACTCCTAACCTCATCCTTGAACCCCACTACAAACCTCATCCTGGAAACCCACTACTAACCTCATCCTAGAATCCCAGTACTAACCATATCCTTGAACCCCAGTACTAACCTCATCCTTGAGTGTGCAATATTTGAAGGCTAATCGATATGCAGCAAAGACAATTGGTGGTAATGTAAACTTGATTCTCTTGTCACCTCCACTGCCAAAGTGCTTCCGGGCAGTGTTGAGGATCTGTAACAAATCAGACATAAGACATTTGAATTATAGTATAACATGATCATAATGAACACAGATATAGAACATACTAATGGTAATAACAATGGCCCCACTGCTTTACTATATAAAACTGATTTTTCATCCCCAAGAAATTGGAAATTTTAGTATAAAAATGTATATACTTGTCCTATCTTATGCTTTTCATATCTTCTTCTTCAATCCTGTATGGAAATGTGCTTGGACCATGTTTCAAGCTTCTGAAACGAAAACATTCACTGACACACACCCCAGCATCTCCATAGTTAAATCCAGCAGCAAGGTCTAGCCTGTATAGACTACATTCTTGAGTTTGTACATGTGGAAACTTGATCTAGACAGTGTAATTTGAATTTTTTAACCTGTCTAACCTGATACCTTACTCAAACGAAACATCATGAGATCATGAAAAATACATGCTCAACGTTTTTTCCCATATGTCATTGTACTTTATACAAATGTAAAAGACATAAGGATCATGTGTGTATACCAGTTTATCTGCGAGACAGTCGTTGCGCCAACACCGATGGACTTAACTTAGGGTATCCCTGACTGAGATGTTGCAAAGGTAGTTAGAGGCGAAAACTGTATCAGACTTCCAGAAGCACCCTCCCATGATCGGGAGAGGGTGCAGTTACTGTGTAGAGCCATGATAGAAGCAGCTGCTCGAGTCTCTAGAGGATTAGACGAAGTAGGTGGAGGAAGCCCAGCAAAGGTATACGCTTGAAGGATGATGGAGCACAGCCAAAGAGAGAACGTAGTACGGGAAATTTCCAAAGTAAATGCAGTCGACAGCAGGATGGAAAGTCTCATTCGAGAGCGTCTGTGGAGGCGAGACGCATCCAGATACAGTCAAAATGCTCGAACTGAGCACAGGGAGAGGTCTTCATGGTTATCCGATCCCACGATCAATCAAAGCAAGATAATCGTAAATAACCGATCAGGTTGGCCGGTAAGTTGATTCTTTGCCACACAATCCCAATGAAGGCTGAGGAACGCCCGACAACTTCCGGATCTCTCAAACTGGACTCTGGTGACATCCAACGCATGAATTTCACTAACGCATGCTGCAGTAGCCCAGAGCCAACAGGAAAATGGTTTTCAGTGTGATGGTCGCAAAGTCCTTCTTCCGCCAGTGGCTCATTCATGATCACAGGAAACCAGTTGTTGTAAAATAACATTCAGGTCCCACAAAGGGAGTCGAAAACAAGAGGCTAGTTTGAGCAGATGAATGATTGTAGTTCCGCAACTGTGGAAACCTTTGCCCCTGAAGTGGTGGCAATGACAGAGTTAATAGCCGCAAGGGAGGTGGCTTCAGCTTCCGGGTTGAACCCGCTTGGAGTAGCCTTTGATGATAAGATTTGGCAAATGCAGAGATGGAGAGTTGCAAGGGACGGATGAAGCCACTGAGAGTGAGGCTGAAGAAGTAGGTTATCTCAGAGCATGGACGATGGATTCGTTCGTCGGCCAGACTTAGCAAGGTGGGGAACCAACTACATGTTGGCAAATAGGGCGCCATCAAAGTCAGAGAGAGGTGACTGGTGGCCACTAGCTTCTGCAGGGCCCGGGGAAGGATCCCAGTGGAAAGGCATTGGCATTGAGACCTTCCCAAGAAATTGCCAATGCATCGCGATCCCAAGCCAGAGCATCAGGGATGGGTGACCCGAAGCGGGATAGTACAGCTTTGAACCGGTCGGCAAAGAGGTCTACTTCCGGGGCCCATTAAAGTTAGAAAATCCATTGGAACGATGCTGAATGAAGAGACCACTCTGTCGGTAATGGTCTTTTGGGTCTGGGGAGTCAATCATGTAGATGACGGAATAATGCAAAGGCTGTATCCAGGGTAGAGTTTATGTCCAATAATACCTGGGAGGGAGCATAATATTGGTGCCACATTGATAACAGTGGAGGACCTATCCCTGCCATAGGTAGAAGTTCCCGAGGGCGTGAGACCAGAGGTGAATCATGACGATAGTTACAGAATGTTCGTCGTTCAAGGGATCACCGACCATAGGAACCGTGTAAGTGATCATTATCAGCGGATAGGACAGTGGGAGAGTGAGAGCAGTGACTGATCTTGAATGCCAATCCTCGGAGCTGGAGCACCGATCCTTGTCCATGGCAGCCAATTGACGATCCTGTGTCGTCTCGTGCCTAAGATCCTGAGAGTGATGATTGGGAGAGTCCCAGGTGGTAGCTGAGGCATGAACAGTAGAGCAAAACGTGTAGATTCCAAGCGTGGTATCTTAAAGGCGGGAGTGTGATCAGTCTCTTGAACAGGAGCGTGAGAGGGAGTGGAATCGAACAGAAGAACAGAGGGACCATCTGCTCAAATCGAAGATTGTGAAATGTTCAGGGTTTGTGATATCAACTATGGGGAAACTGTCAGAAATAGTATCATCTATGAGTGACAGTATGGGTTCTTCTGGTGCAACTGAGGACCCGGCTTTAGGTTTCTTAGATGATTTCATAGAGTGACGGTCAGACAATCTCCTATGACGCTGCTGTAGGTAGATGCAGAAAGCAGAATCTGACATAGAATGATACTCTGAAGAACATAAGTCAAACGAGCACTGCCCGAAACAATCACAGCACAAGGAGTGGGGGTCTGATGTAGAGTGTGAACATGCCGGATGTTGTCTGTCCTTTTTGCCCATGGTGTAGGTTTTCCTAATTCATAGAGACTTAGGAAAAAGGAAACGAATAACTTCTCCAAGGTGTCAACCACATCAACACACAGTAGCAATGAGAAAGAGAATGAGTCGGCAAAGGTATACACGTGGTCAGCTCGTGTAAGCTTGCCGGGCAAAGCAGAACATAATTGACCTAGCTACTGGACGTAACCATGGAGATTCTGAGATGTTTGTTTTTGTTTTAGAAGCCCACAGAACATGGTTAAAGCAGGTTTCCACATAGGATCTAAGAAGAAGATACTGAAGGTGTGAGATAGGGTAAGTTAAAAAATATAAAAACTCAATATATTCTTACATGCGTGATGAACTAGTGAAAAAATCATTGGGTCACCAACACCAGTGAATCAAACATGAAATCCAGTACACTTACAGATTAGTGAACCTCAAGGAGTGTCAGTTACAATCAGCAGCCAATCCGAGGCATATCAATATTGTCACAACTTATCATTACAAAAAATTCTAAAACCAATAACCAGTTCAATCCTGATTGCAAAAACTATATCCGAATTATCAACTGTCACATTACCTGCACATTTATTACAAGCAATGTCATTTTTGAAAACAGTGTTGCTGAGATGGCCGGAGGTGACCTCATCATTTTCACTCTTTGATATGGGATTCTTAAATTGTCGAGGTTTTTTCTGTTATTAATTACGAGAATATCGAGAAGTTGGTTTTAAATTAAGTACAAAATTCTGTATTCAAGACATCTGACAGTGACAATTCTGAACATTTGTGCGTGCACTGACAGGCATGTGTGCATCTTTTTCTCGGTGTCTGTCTGTCCATCTCTCGGAACAGGCATATGTGCCTTGAAGAGGTCCCTTACCACTGGTCAAGAGTGAGTGAATATGGTTTTACACTGCTTTTAGCAATATTCCTGCAATACCAGAAACGGGTTTCACACATTGTACCCATGTCGGGAATCAATCACTGGTCAAGAACACTTGGCACTGGATAATTAGCAATTGTCTGACCTGTTCGTTCAGAGACCACTTTTTGCCTTCTTTACGATCTGTTTAATTCCTCCTCAATTGATGACAGACACTGAATGTCATCAGTAGTGTTAACATAAACATCCGTATTAAGTAACTTATGAGATATTGTATACATTATTTAAGAAATTAGTAAAATCTAAATATTTTTTACATTTGTATACTTTTCCTGCATTACTCTTTAATGCATTCTCTGCATGTGACAACTAGAATTCGGTGCAACTGGGTGAAGAAATAAAGTTGTTGTCGGGAGGCAAGTCTTGCGACGGGTTGGCCTTTAACTTAGTAATGCAGGATAAGTATACAAATGTAAAACTAATTTAGATTTTACTAAATTTTTTACTTATCCTGCATTACTCCTTAATGCATCTGTATCGGACTGTTTGGAGGTGGGTAAACCTTCAGAATACAGAAACTGCAAAACGACACCAGTTGGTCGATAAACTGTGAAGCGGAAAAGTTCAGAAAAACGGTAGGGTTGTTCAAAAATCAAAACATTGAAATTCCTTATACACACTTAGTAACAAAGAAAATAATAGCTGATCAGCTAGTTCTTTACTAACCACGTCATAGAGCCGTCGTTGACAAACAAGATTGTCTTATATTCTTTCACTGGCGGCAACTGAGTGACTGCGCATGGAAGTATATGTATAGGGCTCTGTATAGGGCGAGCTCATTTTTTGCGTAGGGGGTTGGTAACCTGCTGGGTTACAACCAGAGGGCCAAACTTCGCACGCCTTTGACGTCCTCGAGAGCCACAACGCGAAGATAATGACAAACAAAAACTGTGTTGAACCTCCAGAAATATCCTTCCATGATTGTTCTAATAAAACAATTGCCGTGTAGAGCCATGGTCAGGCTGAGATCGTGAGGGTAATTCGCTCTTGGCGGATTCCGTTTTTGCGATCTCATAGGCCTGTAGGATGACTGCGCGTAACCATAGAGATATGGTGTTTGCGACTAACTTTGGTTGTGGACGTAGGAAACACGTGTATAAATAACCGCTTCCTCGAACCATGCCTCGTCTTGGAGCGGAATGAAAACTCAAACTGCTCGCACTGAGCCCAGAAGTAATTCACATTCATGTACGGCTCCCACAATAGTCGATATTGGTGGGATGGTGAAGGAACAGTAGGGTTGGCCTGGTAGTTGATTTTGTACAATAAAATCCCAGCATAACCTGAGATGTACCGCTCTGTGCATCCCATGTCCAAAGGGGACCCGGGTGGTGTCGATCACATGTAGTTCGCTCAGTTCGGAAAAGTCTGTTGAAGTAGAGAGTGGGAGTGTG